CCATTTTCCCATAAACCCAAGAGGGAACACTTCCTGTACTGGGCCACAGAAGGCTTGTGATTGGTGCAAGCACATTATTTCATTTGCATGAAAGACCGCTGGCATGACCACTGCTGGTGGCAACAGTTAACCCCACCCCTTCCTGACTATGTGACGAGGGATGGGGTGGAGTGGGGTGTGGTGGGGGTGGGAGTGGGGGATGTTCGGCTTATTTTTCCAGTCAGCTGGGAGACCCCTTCCTGCCCCATCATCTAATTTTGCAGCATTCAGTCCACGAAAGCCTTCAAAATGGTTTTTCTTTGTCTATTTTGAATTGTATCATAAGTAGAGGGGGATGAGATGATAATACATCGGGAAACAGCCGAACAGTAGAGATATAATGGCGGCAGCTATGGTGGCAAGTGGCAATTCCAGACAATGGCTGGGGGCAAAGACCTTAGAACGAGGCAAAGACTTTCTAGTAGAGCGAAAAGACCTCAGCCCCTGATTGGTAGAGCCGGCATTATTGAAATTTCATCCTTCCCGAGGCTTATTCCTGATCCTGCAGCATGTATGGGAAGAAATGTAATGAGGCTTTTTGGGTATTCGGCAAAATCTCCATTATGTTAAGTCTCTTAGGGTCATGAAGACTTAAAGTAGCCTTGGGTTTGGTTTTTTTGTTTGTTTGTTTGTTTGTTTGTTTGTTTTTTGTTTTTTGTTTTTCCTTACATAAAGAGTCAGACTATTCTCTGGCCATAAGATCCATATACACCAAAGTAAAGAAAAGTAACATCAGAAGAGCCGCCACTCACAGGCAAGACCAGATGGGGCAGCTTGTAGTCAACAGAGCTTCAAAGGTTAAGGTCACATTGAAGACCTATGGAGACCATCCTGGCTGGCCAGCCTTATGCAGAAGAGTGGCTGACATTTCCTACTTCTCTACGCAGAGCAGATCTGACCACTTTCCTCTGTAGACCCCAGAACCTTCCCATACTCTTACATCCTGGCTCCTAACACAGGAGTTTCAGTTTCCTTAAAGCCCCAGGAGAAATGTTTTTAGTTGTATTTTTCTCTGTATTCTTAATTATAGGCAACACACTTGTACTATCCAATACGAATTTCCCTCCCAAGGATGTCTGATTAGCATTTCCAACTTGTCTTGCCCTCCATGGATGTCTTGCTGACAGTCAATGTTAACATTCTGAAGATAGGATCCAAGGTTTCTCTTCACTCCACTCAGTGGTGTTCTGGCTATTGCAGTCATCTGTGTCCCCACAGGACCAGTGCACTGAGCTTACTGCAAGAACTGTTGCTAGTGGAATAAGGGGAGGAGAAAGGGAAGAGTGTGGAGAGAGGCAGTAGTAACATTAGGAAGAAAATGGAGAGAGACAGTAACATTAGGAAGAG